TCACCGGCGACTGGGATGGCGACGGCAAGACCGACATCGGCATCTACGGCCCGGCCTGGCCGCGCGACCCGCACGCCATCGAGCGCGAAGCGGGCATGCCGGACTACGCGAACCATCCCGGTCCGCACGGCACAAAGGCCAAGAACGTGCCGCCGACCGACGAAGACGCCACCAGCGGCGCGCGTCTGCTGGCGAAGCTCCGCGACAAAATCCGCGGCCGCCGCGCCGACGTGATCGACCACGTTTTCCACTACGGCACGCCGGGCGATGTGCCGGTTGCCGGCGACTGGAACGGCGACGGCATCCGCACGATCGGCGTCTTCCGCGACGGCCACTGGACGCTCGACGCCAACGGCGACGGTCGCTTCAACGAGGCCGACCGCAACGTGATGCTCGGCCAAGCGGGCGACCTGCCGCTGGTGGGCGACTTCAATGGCGACGGCGTCGATGAACTCGGCGTCTACCGCGCCGGACGCTGGCTCGCCGACCTCAACAGCGACGGTGAGCTCGAAGAGCTCGACCTCGCCGCGACCGACCAGGCGCTGGCCGCCGAAGTGGCGGGCAAGCCAATCGTCGGCGACTGGGACGGCGACGGCATTGACGAGCCGGCAATCGTGAGCCCCGTTGCCGACGGCGAGGCGAGCGAGGTGCGCGTATCGCTACGCAAGGCGGGTTAGTGACGGAACCGTCTCGCACAACTCCGCTACCTGACGGGCGAGGCTCGAAGTAACTCTCTATCAGGAGTTGCTCGTTGGAGCCGCGCCCGTAAGGAAGCGGAGTTCCTATACAGCGCCGAACGAATCGCTACGCGTCCTTCAACGCCGTCAGCTCCGCCTTCAGCGAAGCGATCTCCTGCTCGAGCTGCGCGACCTCGTTGGGGTCGTCCATCTGCTGCTTCGCGCCGGTGAGTTGCTGCTGCAACGAGTCGAGCTTTTTGCGGATCACCTCGACACGCTTCTTCGCTTTCTTGTCCATGGGTGGTGGGCTGATTCTAAGGAAGGAGATAGGGGATGAATAGAGATAAGGGGGATGGCCGCTGGGAGGTGCGGGATCGATCGAGATAGCAAGGACGATCGGTTAAACAGTTCGGGCGACAGGCTTACTAAAGTCTCTCGAGAAGACCATTTCTAGTAGCCCCTTTATCCCCCTTATCTGCTTGATGCAATCGACTCACTCGATAGGTTCGATCTGCACGTCGCCGAACGCCGGGGCTTCTTCGGCGACAGGGACCGCGGCGCGGGCGTCGGGCAGGTCGCGGAACGAGCGGAGCATCGCGCCGAGCACGAAGACGCTGAGGGCCAGCACCAGCGCCAGGTTGAGCCAGCCCGTCAAGTTGGCGCGCATCTTCTGAGCTAGCGCCGTCTTGCCGGCGATGAAGGCCATGATCGCCATCACGCCGATCGACAAGAGAAACTTCACGCCGAACAGCGGGTGGTAGAGCTTCGGCAGGTTCTTGTAGACGCCCATGAAGAGGATTAGGTTGTAAACGCCGCTCACGAGCAGCAGCAGCGTGCAGACCATCACACACATCGCCCACGCCTTCCGTCGGCCGTGGAAGAGGGCGGCCTCACGCTCGCCCTCGGGCGTCG